AAATTTGCATGTTGCGTACGATTGTACTTGTTTTGAATAGACTTTGTTGTAAGCTTACATTCAGCTGTGCTCCGCTATTATTCAGCCTTCGGCAACCAATTTCTGTGAAAACTTACGCTTACATATGCAAACTTTCCTGACGAGAAAATTGTACTTGTCCGAATTTTTTTTTCTTTCACATTTGTAATATTGTTTCCAAGCTATCCAAGTGCTGATTTTGTTTTAGTGTTTAAAATATTTGTCCCACTCATCTTGAACTGATGCAGTCACACCCATTTTATTTTGATTATCTACAAAAATCAATAAAACTTCAATATTTAACTTTCATTCGCCAGACAAATTATTTTATAATTCAAAACGTTTATGTAAATCTAGGACTTGCTCTCATCTGACTTTCATTACGCATACATTTTGTCAGTTGAAATGTTTATCATCCAGTCATGCGTATGTCTTCATTTTCTTTAATGGATTGGCGAACATAAGCTTAAATAATTTAAGCAGTGAGGGAGAATGTTATTCCATATTGTTTCTTACTTATTAAGAAAATAAATTTATCATGAAAAGATTTGGGATCAATCAGTCACATTTGAAAATAATGCTAGATTGTAAATAAATAATTATTGAGTTTTAGAGGAAGTCTAAGGCACATCTTTTACTTTTTTTTAAGGTTTTTAATAAATAACGAATGCAGTGTACAGACTCTAGAAATTCTTGTCTTATAGCCTTTCCAGTCTGGCTAGTGTATTCTGTCTGTCACTTGCTCAATGGGCAAATAAAGTTTCTTGGAAAATTTTTTTGAGGAAATGCAAATTACAGCTTGCAGTACTGTAAGAGATGAACGTTTTGGGAGATAGTGAGAATGATTTTTTTGGCTGATACGTCATAGATAGAGTTTGCCTGTAGGGCGAGCCTGAAAATTGTTTTCTTTGCACGGTGTAATGCTGTGAGAATACTCAGTAACCAGGCTGTTAAGGAACCTAGATTTGTTTTGACTGTTGATTCAAAAGTGTGCAAATGTTATAAATTCCATGCATATCTACTTATTTTTAGGTATTTTGGTGTAATATGTAGCAGCCAGAGCCAAGAGGGTTCTATTAAAAAAAGAAAGAAAATCACTGATCACTTTGAAGCAGTGATGTTTGATACCTTGTCTATAGGGTTCTTACCAGGTGTTAAATTATGACATAACGGGAACTAACATGGTAGGATCAGACTTCATTAAGCAACAAGTAATTAGTACTTGTTGCTCAATGAGGTATGTTCCTACCATGTTATTTCCTGTTATGTCGTAATTTACAGATTAATAATCTATAAATTTTGGATCATGTGTACTAATGGCATCCATGGTGGAGTGTCGACTGATAACCTCGATCGATATCTCTGATCGACCCTCAGTTGACACCTTGGTCGACTCTCGGTCGACATCTCGGTCAACAGTCAGTCAACGTTGACTAATTTTTGATCAATGCTTATGGTTTGGTCAACACTTGGCCAACTATCCATGGACTATTGATCAACTGTCGATTGAGTGTTGCTCAAGTATCGATCAGAACGTTGATTGAGTTCCGATCAATATATCAACGTAGGGTATCGACCATGGGTATTGATCAACAGTCGATCTCGGATGTAGTTAGTACACATAATCCTAAATTTTGATAGTGATAATCCATTTAAGTCATAGCAAATAGTAATGTAAGGCAAAGATAAAGTCTGCATCTGGCCAATTGGTCTATTCACTGGAGCTTATGTTAGCTTCATGACGCTATTGGTTCCTCTATGGGATGCTAGTCTATCCCAGGGTTATCCCTATCATTAAATTTGCGGATATCCATTGATAGTAAATTAATAGCAATCTTTTTTTACTTCATGCACTCATTTATCTCCTGGCCTTTGAGATATTTTGGTCTGAAAGGAGAGTGGGTAGGCATTGCTAAGCAAAAGATCAACTCAAAGAAGCCTGGGCAAGGGGATCGATGGCTATTAAATTCTGAGTTCTGTTGGCACAGCATTGCCAACAACCTACCTGAAACCTAAGAGATAAGTGGGGCTGTCATTAAGTTTTGAGTCACCTGTAGCCTTGTTCTCCACACCCCGAAGCAAACTTGTTAGTTTGTGGGTGAATTCTACAAACAACAGGCAATTTCACCTGAATTTCTGTTCAGCAAGAATGTGCTCCATTTGAAGTTTCCACAAAGAATATGCCATCACCATTAAGGTTGGGGCATTGGGCCTTGAAAACTGAAAGGCTTGGAACTGGTGCAAATGATGCACAATGGAACACTCAGGAGTTTCATTCTGAATGGTCCAATGGTCTCTAAAAATCTTTGAGGAGACTGAACTTTGAGTTGTTCTGATATCCCTCCAGTAGGGTTACGTGTAGATGTGCAACAAAACACATAAACGTTTTCTCCCAGATGGTGACAATGTTTGCTTTAGTGACTGATGGTGTTTGCTTTTGAATGTGACCTGTAATGTATAATGTTTTTTTTTTCTTGTTAACAGTTTAGCATTACACCCAGAGAGACAATTAGTGGCCACTGGGCAAGTTGGTAAGGATCCATACATTTGTGTCTGGGACACAAAAGCATGTCAGACAGTGTCCATTTTGAAGGACACCCACCAGAGGGGAGTGACCTGCTTAGCATTCAACAATACTGGCACGGTATGTGAAACACCATCAACATCATCATCATCATTTTTTTATTTGCCACTCTGTAAATAGTAATAAAATAATAACAAACTAATAATAATAATAATAATAATAATAATAATAATAATGATAATAATGATAATAATAACGGCGAGGAGACCTCCAAAAACCACCAGCAGGCTTATAGCAGAGGGCACCTCAGTTGTTCATATATTTGTAAATTTTTTAAGTGTTATGCAAATGGCTTAACCAATTCACCATTTTTTCATGAAAGCACCAACAGAGCTATTTTAAAATTTTCCACTATGTTTTTTCTCTGGTTCCAAAATTAGTAGATTAGTTTATTACACAAAAGTTCTGCAAAATCAAACTCCCTTGCACAATGTTTTTAAAATTGCAAAAATTGATTTTATGAATACTATAGAGAAAGTCCCTGACATGTGTATAATGAAAGACAAATTTTCTAAACTCATGGAAATTAAGTGTTGCCAAATATCACCCTTCAAACAGCACAGAAAATGTTATTTGCAACAGTGCATGTTAAAAGTCTAAAGAGTCTACCTCCCTCAGGGATTTCACTAAGGGCTGGCTGCCAATTAATTCCACTGGCTGAAATCTGGCTGAAATTTGAAATAAAAACAAAGACTTGGGGTAACTTTGGAGCTGCCAAGGCCAGATCAGCTGGAAAGGCTTGACAGTGAGCCATCTTAGTATTTTCTTAAACCACCAAGAGAAAATTTCTACATATGACTGCACTGCTTGCTGCATGTCAAACATTTTTGTTACATATAAACTGGAAAGGAATGGGGTGCGCATGTAGATGTTTGGAGATTTCGTTGCTGATGTTTTACCATTTATTAATTCTAGTATTATGTCTTCTCATGTTGTTTGTACAGCTTCTTGTCTCGGTTGGTTTGGAGGACTATCATCTTATAGCCGTGTGGGACTGGAGGAAGGGACGTGTGCTGGCCACAGTGAGAGGACATACTGATCGAGTTAGTTCAAAAATTATCATAATGCAATAAAATGAATATTAATGTATGGTAGTTTGTGTGAGAAAAAAACTTTGTTTGTCATAGGAAGAGTTCCATCGATTTTCTGTCTCAATCTGTCTGATTTCTGTAGTTGCTGTCTATTTCTTTAATTGCTGTCTATTTTACAGATCTTTGACATTCAGTTCAATCCTTATCAAGAGAATGTGCTTGTTAGCTGTGGAGTGAAACATATCAAGTTTTGGACCTTGCGCGGGAATGCACTCAATCCTAAGAAAGGTCGTTAGAATAAATATTAAATATATATACATGTATTCAATGCTGTGCCATTTTAAAGTTGGTTCGCTGGTGGATCAATTAATCTAAAATGTATCAAAAATGTTTACTTTACAGGAGTTTTTGGTAAAGCTGGAGAAATTCAAACCAATCTGTGCTTAGCCTTTGGTCCCAATGATGTGACATACTCTGGAACCCTGAGTGGAGAAATTTACAAATGGAAAGGGCACAACCTGTCAGGAACAATTCCAAATGCACACACTGTAAGCTGGTTAAATTAATGCTTATATTGCGCAAGTCCTTTCATTTCTTCCAGAAGTTTATTTGATTGCGATTTACAGTGGAACCCAATTCTACGATTAATGGCAAGGGGACAGAAAAATTGTATTGTTTAATCACGATATCATTGTAAACGAACTCTTGATTTGGCAAAGCAACTAATAATATCATTATATTGGGATATGGTCAATAATAGACCAATTTCGATATATTAAAATTCAGCCTAACACAATAGACTTCTGCACGAGGCTCTGGGGAATAAACCCCACAAACTCGGTATTTATTCCCCAGAGCCTCGTGNTTTTTTTTAATACATCATCTGTGCATGAGCAACCATATAAGCTGTTTATCGACATAAAAAGCTGATCCTAAAGTTTCAATCGTGGCACCGTTAGTACAAATCTAATGCTACACAAGGAAAACTATACGTCCTTTGTTGTCTCATTACTCGTCCACATAATGGGGGGGAGGGAGGGGGAACTTATTCAAGGGGGGTGCTTATTTTAAATTTGGGCAGATAGGAGGGACGCTTATTCAAAGGGGCGCTTATTCGAGGGGGGGGGGGCACGCTAACTCAAGGATTTACGGTATATCATTGTGACGGGAAAAACTTTATGCTTGGGTTGCTAGATTTCCATCTCTATACTGGGAATATGGTTGAACCAAATATTGTTAAATCAGGATTCTGCTCCTTACAATCTACTGTTCAGTAACTTTTGCTGGGACACAGAATGTTGATTGATAAATCAAGAATATCGTTAAATCAACGATCGTAAAATTGGGTTCCACTGTATACTGAATTACCAGATTCTCTCAGTTGCTGCTATGTGAATAGTATGAAACTAGTATTGAGAATTTTTATGTTGATCTCCATGATTATTAATTGCTGTCATTGCAGGGAGCAATATTCACAATGCATGGTAACAATGACGGGTACGCCACAGGATCCAAAGATGGAACAGTTATTCTTTGGGACAATGGTTTTAAACCTATCACCAAACTGGATATGATTAACACTCCAGTTGGTTATGAAGGTAATCTAATGTGAGGTCAGTCTTTATACATCAATTCTAACAACAGAGAACAATACACAATTATGTAGTGTTGAACTCTCTTACATCTACAAATGAATGTCAAATTATATTGATTGTGGACCTCAATCTGTTCCCAGCTGTAAATATACCAAAAGCAGCTCATTAATCTTGCTTAAGGTAGGTGCAGCCTTCATGGAATTCTAATTACAAAAAATAATTAAAATATTTAAGTTCGTGTTACTTTGCAGGTCTGTCTGTGCGAAGTGCATTCTGGATGGGTGAGAAAATCCTGGTTGGTACAAATGCTGGTGAGGTATTTGAGGTCTTAGCAACAGACAAGGACAAACCTAAAACCATTGTTCAGGTATGTATGTAACAGAAATTATATAATTTACTCATTTACATTTGTACTGTAAGATGGGTTTCTTTTTCAGGAGAAAATAGTTTGTCTCAAGAAGTAAATCTCTTTAAATTAAATGCAGAGCAAGAATAATTATTAGTACAGTTTTTCTGTTGACTGTCCTTGGCTAGAAATATACGCGAGAGATGCCTGAGAAACGGCTTGTAAGAATGTTAGGCATATTGCAGACAAGTTGATAGGGAATGAATTTGTTTTTTCTCGTGAAATTTGTGAGAGGATGTATCTGAAGCAGCACCTTACAATGGAAAGAACAGGGTAAGGCTGAGCTGCAGTAAAACTGTACTCCAGTCTTGGGGAATTACATCTGCCATCTTTAAAGCTGTAGAATTAAGGCTCTGTTACTGACGTTGTCTTACTTTGGAAGGGCCATGCTGAAGGGGAACTCTGGGCGTTGGCTGTACACCCAAAGAAGGCAATGTTTGCCACAGGCAGTGATGACAGAAGTGTCAGGTATTCAAGTTCCTGTTGATTCATCATTGGCTAATTTCCATTGGTATCAAGAAGACTGATTGTTTGGCCAATAAATTCAATTTTGCAGGTTATGGAGTATGTCAGATATGACGCTCCTAGCAAGAACTGACCTGGATCAGAAGGCCCGTTCTTTGGGTTTCAGTGCTGATGGTAGTCATTTGGCAGTGGGACTTGGAGATGGATCCTTCATGGTTTTAAAAGCCAGGTATACTGTAGCTAAATTGACAATGTCTGCTTTGGAAGTTTAATCTATAAAAAACTTAACTTGCTGAAGATCTGGCTGCCTACATGACGTGTGCTGTTTAATTAGCAACAGAGACACAACGTTCAGGTTGGTCAAAAGGTGGACAACGTTATCTGTAGGATAAATGGCTTGTCAGTGGTTAACATGATTAGTTTTAAGCTAACACGTTGTGTGGTCATACATTATTATATGTCTCTGAGGGTTGTGGTTTGTACACAGTGGACAGAGCTATCTATCCTTGCCTAATTGTATCCCACAGATAGCTGCCTAATTTTTCTCAGCCTTATGTTTGTTGTAGGCAGCTAATAACATTTTATTAGGCTTATAAGCGTAGCTTGAAATTATTGTATTCTTCTTTCCTTTTTTTGGTATAAACAAATGTTGTTGTTGTTAACAAATGAGATCTTGAGTACGAGCTAATGCCTCATGTAGTGCTGTTTTATGGGCTGAACATTCTTAAGATCAATTTTTACTGAAATTATGAACATCAGATTTCCTTGTATAGTGAAAAAAGTACTGTAAACTGGCCAGTTAGGTTGAGTTGAGTAGGAGACCAATGGGGTGTGTAGGGACCAGGGTGGTGATGCTAGAAGGACTGCGGCAGTAATGAGAGGGGCCAAGGGAGTGGGGAAGTGCAAAATAATGTCTGTACCTCTTCCCTCCCTTTAGACTCTTTGACCCTTCCCAGGTCTCCAAGCCTCTAGTGATGATAGTTAATGATGTACATGTAATTGTTTTCTTTTCATTCTTAAGGGATCTATCTGAAGTTACCCACATAAAAGACCGCAAAGAGGTAATCCATGAATTAAAGTTCTCACCAGATGGACAACATCTTGCAGTTGGATCCAATGACAACTTTGTGGACATATATTCTGTGACGCAGCATTACAAGAAAGTTGGAGAATGCAAGGGCAGCTCTAGTTTTATCACTCATTTAGATTGGTCTATGGATAGTAAATATTTACAAACAAACTCTGGCGCGAGTGAGAGATTGTTCTTCAAGATGCCAAGTAAGTACTGGTGCATCATGTTGGAATTCTGTGATCATCTGACATGCTGCTTACGCGGTTATTTGGGGAGTTATATAAGTTTAATGACAACTGGATAGTTCACAATGAGCCAACTAGAGATCATTCAAAACAAGGCTGGTAAAGTTTTAATCCTTTCAGTCCTTCCTCATAGCTCATCAAGGTAACTGAGGCAATGAAAAGCTTAAATCTGATGTTACTTTAATAAGCCAATTCTTTTACCACAGCCTGTATTTTGATGCACATATTTAATATTTGAACAAAGAGATTGATTTTGATTTGTATTCACACGATGTCCACTCCTAGAATTCCTTTTGCAGGGTCCGAAATTGCGCTTTCCTGGTCGCCAATGTGACTAAAAATTTTGCACTGGCGACCAGAATTTCACAACTGATCGCCAGTGGGTGATTAACTATTTCATGCCACGGTAATTACACAAACAATAACTTTGATTTTCAGCCAAATCGATTAAAATAAAATTCAAAGCTGCCCACCAATTGGTCACTTCCTTTTTACCTTTCCGCTGCTTTTGAAGTATAAAACCGATTTTCCTGTTATTATAAATCTACCACAACGTTTTACAGTTACGATAAGTGCGAAGCTTTGCCGCCATGTTTTTTCAGCGATTTCCCATAACATACATATTCCGGGCGCAAGAGGCCCCATGCATTCTTTCGCCATGAATTTGTGTCCAAAGATGTTCTGAAATCTTTCTGTAATTTATTACAAAGTGGAGACGGAGCATCAGCAAAGAAATTAGATGAAGATTTAGATATTCTCTGGGCGTCAAAAGGTGGAAATGTACATCTGCCAAAGTGGTTAAAAGATGATTTCAGCACTGGCTTGATTCCTGATTCCATCGATTTCAAATATTTTGCTGGCAAGCCCGTGGTGGCCAAAAATTTTAGTTTGTGTTTTGCTGTGAAGGAAAAATTTTATTGACACTTTTTGGCGACCACATTTTTCCATATGGCGACTGAAAAAACAAAATTTCAGTCGCCAGGTTGCGCCTGCCGAAAAAAGGTAATTTTTGGACCCTGTTTTGTCTGAAAGACAAATACAAAAATTGGACTATGTGTCCTATATGCATGTGCCGTCAAGTGTCAATCGATTCCCTCAATCAACCCTCCATCAACATCTCGATCAACATCTGACTGACATTTTGATAGACACTCCATTAACAGTTGGTTAATAGTTGGTAGAGAGTCAACAGACTCATATGTATTGATTGACACTCGATAGAATGTGAAGTTTATATGAAATAATTCATATATGAACTACGGTTGTAGATGAAAGTGAAGAATCCCGTTGAAGCCCTGATTTTTTTTTCAGGCTTCTTCTTTCCAATTGCTTAAATTAGAAAATTTACTGTGATGATCATTCTTCACTTTCNTGGGTTTGAATCCTGTTGAAGCCCTGATTTTTTTCAGGCTTCTTCTTTCCAATTGCTTAAATTGGAAAATTTACTGTGATGATCATTCTTCACTTTCACTCGATAGAATGTCTGCAAAAATTAGTACTTAGACACTCAACTGACTGTCAACTGATTGATTGATTGTTTGAGATGTTGATGGAGTTTTAATCAAGAGTCGATGGAGGGTACCGATTGACAATCGACCATGGATGCCCGTAGTACACACGATTCCAAAAATTTACAAGTCAAGAGATATCTTTGTGGTCACTTAAGCAAGGCGATTTTTTGTTGATGAAGTGCTCTTTTTGATTACGTAGATTGTCTTGTGTTGTATTTATTTTGTTAGGTGGAAAGCGCATTGCAAACAAAGAAGAGGTCAAGGCAATCCATTGGGCCACATGGACCGGTGTCCTGGGTGTGGAGGTGAATGGAATCTGGGAGAAGTACACAGATACAAATGACGTCAATGCTTGTGATGCAAGCTTCCAGAATGAAGTTTTAGTTACTGGTGATGACTTTGGCCTTGTGAAGCTCTTTAGATTTCCTTGTCTCAGAAAAGGTGAGTTGTGAAGTGGATTACTTGTGAAGTCTGGGTTGGGCAATTCGTGATAATTTTTTTTTATCTCCTTGTTAACATGCTTGGATACTGGTGAGAAGTGAAGGATCAGTGAAGCCCTAGCTGGAGCAATTCATAATTATTAATACATTATTGTACTGTTAGTAATGATTCGATTTAGTGCCCAGAGTGCTAATTTACTTTTGGTAGCTTCAGGGATTTGCTTATTGGAAGGGGGCACTTATTGAAAGGAGGATGCTAAATTGTATCATTATTAACAGTTTCTCCATTTCTGACATTTTGGCAAGTAACTCTCACTGTCAGTGTTTTTTCTTCTCCATGAATTAGAAGCAGAGGTTTCATTAACGTTTTCAGCAGGGTGGCAATTGTAACTGGTTTTCACAGGCGTGCAAAACTATTATAACTGAACTTCTTTGCAAAAAAAAAAAATTTTCACCAGATGGTGAAACCAGGCGGGCAAAATTGTCCTCACAGCCTGTCAATTTGCTTGGTGCCGGGCCCTTAATAAAACCCCTGATTAGAAGGTTTTTAATTTGTTTATTGATGAAGTTTTGAGGCAACTTGACCTTATCTCTAAATGATGACCTCAACATGACTCTTGAACTGAAATCTGTTGTTAGTGGTATCCAGACAGTTGATCTTTAGAAGGCCTGGGCTAAAAGACAAACAATGGATTAGCATTGCAATCAGAAAAATATCTATACTTCTACAATTGAAGTTGCCTTTTGCTACAGAAAGTGGAGTCATGCATCGGCACTGTTGAACCTGGATCTGCTTTATCAAACTTCATGCATTACAACTCTTAATGCTGTCTAAATATTCAGCCCTTGATCAATGATGTTCATGAAGCTAATCCAAATTTCAGTGTTACTACCTTTATGCTTCTTGGCTATAGTGGATGTGTCGAAGCATGTTGTATTTCAAGGTGGATTAAAATCGGTCTTGATCAGTTGGCGTTTTCAGTACATTGACCAGGGTTCATCGATCATCATGTTCTTTTCCCTACAAGGGAAATACTGGGCCTAGATCAGGGTTGCTGCATTGATGTAAATAATTCGTAGTGTCAACTCAATTCTCTTACAGGTGCTAAATTCAGAAAGTATGTTGGACACTCAGCACATGTCACAAATGTCAGATTTTCTCATGACATGATGAGAGTGATTAGTGTTGGTGGAGGTGATCACGCAATCTTTCAGTGGCGTTACTTGCCTGATGGTTCCCGTGACGATGATGATGATGTTGATGGTGGAGCATACCTGGAGTCCAACAGTGACGACAGTGACTCTGAAGCATCAGATGCCGATGAACTTGATAGTGATATTGAGAATGTAAGTGTGTACCAGTGATGGGTTTTTCAAATTTGGTCATCCAAACTCGCTTCAAAGAGAATCAACTTGTTGGTATAGCCCAAAGGCATTATAGACGACTCCTATTTTATCCCCTTCTTTGACATGGTGAAAAGTTTAGCTTGCTGACATCACAGTTTGTACACACCCTGACTTGCAGATAAAGTCCTTGAAAATCCTTAAATTTGGAAATTTGGTATGAAAATTTCAATTCCTTGGCAATGAATGAAAAGTGACTGAAAAATAAACACACATTCAACTTTGCCACTTTCCTATGAAATTGTTAAGATTTTAATTGTGGGTAATAGCACAAATTTTGCAGTAAATTCATCCTTGAATTTCGACTTTGGCCTGCAATAATTGTTGAATGGGATTTAATTATTTAAGCTGGTCTTATGCCAGTTCTAATGTGTCAGAATGTTGCTTCTCTAGGAACGTCAAATTGATTATGGAAGGACATTGTATCGTGAAGATTTACCAGCACTGAAGGAGAGAATGAAACTATCGAAAGATGAACAAGAGAAGGAAGACAATGTTCCACGTCAAAAACCTCCCAGTGAGGGCTTGAGATTAGAGTTTGTGTTTGGGTAAGGTGTTTGCGTGTGTTACTACTTTAACAAGAACAGGCTGGCGATGCACTATTCTGACTACACTGACACAAGACATTCAGTGTGAAAAGTTTCTTGATGATAAGTCAGTCAGTCATCTGATGCAGATCTATTCCATCCACAGGTGTAATAACATAATCTGTATCCTTGCAAATCACAACTATTGGTTCTAAAAATTAGAACCTGTGGTATGCCAGACTGGAAAGCTACTAAAAAACCACCCTTTAGATGTGGCGAGAAAATATGTGGAAACGTATTCCTCATCTAATGAAGCAGCACGAGACCTCGAGGAAAGGGTACAAAATCAATAAGCTCGTCAACAGCATTTTGCAATGATTAGTCATACAAGCTGTTCATTAAAACAAAAGCTTAATTAAACAAAGTGGAATAACATGAAGACTGACCAACTTAGAATGACCTAAATCTCCTGCCAAAACCTGAATAGTCCCAGAATTCCCATGGCACCCCATGAGCCTCTTTATCATGCTGCCAGAATATTAATTTCTCACTAATTTGTCCTGCAATTGTCAGAAGTTTCTTTTTTTGTCATTTTACCTGGGGTCATTGAGTTTTGTTCTTGGGAAAAGCACTTTAGTCTCACAGTCTCTCTCTCCATTGTGGTGTATAAATAGATATAATGGTGAAATTAATGCTGGGGAGGTGGATTACCATAGATAGGATGGACTGACATACCATCTAGGGAGGAGTTGCTTGATGCTATCCAACCTGGAATACATGGTGATGTGTCTTTTATCCTCAGAGCTGGAACTTGTGATTCAACACCATTTGGCCCAAATATGCAGAATCTACCTCACTGACATTTACCTTACCAACTGATGCAGATCTTTATTCTCGTCACCTGTCTACTCAATAGTATTTTTATTTTGTAAGGAGAAATTGGTTAAACCTGATCACTCTCAGGTATTAACTGCAAGGGTGTTATGAGAAATGTCCAGGGTATTAATCAAGGAATTTTGCTATAAGCATAATTTGTTGGCCCTCACAGCTTCCCTTAGTTTTCTACCTGGCCCATAAAATAACATTTTTCTTTCTGTCTTTCTTTCTTCTCATCAGCTACCGTGGGTACGACTGTCGGAACAATCTCTTTTACTCTCAGGGTGGTGAGATTGTGTACCATGTGGCTGCTGTAGGCATTGTGTACAATCGTGAGCATCACAAGCAGAGGTTTTACAATGCGCACACAGATGACATCCTTTGTTTGTGTATTCACCCAGTCAGAGACGTTGTTGCCACAGGGCAGGTAGAACAGACCTTCTGACGTACAAGTAATTTTTAGCTCAGGACAACAATTGTTTCAAACTTGGGATTGAAGTTTTTTTTGAAGATGATTGATGGTTTGCACTTGAATCAGACCTCAACAGCTGGGAATTATTAGGATTTATTTTTATACTACTTCTGTCTAGAAGTATATAGTCAAACTGAAAGAAACAAATTACAATTACTTTGAGGCTCTGTGCCGTAATTGTCGTAACTGACCTTGAACTAATACAAACTGAAAATATGTTATAATTCTGCATCCAATTCTTGTAATCCTTTCCCGTCCGTAAACCATGCGTTTAAGTTATGACTCTTTCTCTGTACCAACTTAGCGTCTCTTAATGAAATGACGTTCCCTCTGCGAGATTCGAACCGCGTGATCCCTTTTATAGAGGTATGTGTCCCTAAGGACCTTACATAAACCCGCAAGGACTTATATAACTTCGTGTTCGTGCAAAACAATTGATGATCTTAATATGATAAAGAAATACTGAAACCTCATTAATATTTTGGAACAAGAAAGTCTGCTTCAAAAGGGGCTAAGATTGTATCTTTCCTTCTGACAGGTGGGACGGGATCCTGCTGTTCATGTATGGGATGCAGTGAAGATGGAGACCTTAGCTATCCTCAAGGGGCAACATGAGAGGGGTGTTTGTGCTGTAGATTTTTCAGGTACCTTATTTTCTGCCATTGTTGCAGACCTGGATAGAGTGGTGTAGAATAACTCCCAGTGGCACTAGCTTTAAATTGATTTGAATGATCATGAACATTTTGAAAGAAGCTTAAGTCTAAAAATTACCAAATTCTTATTGTTGTGGACATAGAAAAACAACGAGATAACAAATAGATCCATGAAGGATGGTTAAGGATGGAGAAGATTAACACGGATTGCAAACGTCGAACTTGAAAAATTAAGCTAAACTTTTCAAGATGCAAAACCCATGACATAGCTCCTTTAAAGAGGTACCACTTTTCGAAGAATTTGTTTTAAAACCACAATCAATTTTTCTTCTGGTTTGATACGCTAAAAGGATGGGAATAATCCACTGATGGTCAGATTAAGAAAAATACCGTAAACAAGCCGCACATTGAAACATGTGTCGAAGCCACCGCCCTCTTCAAGGTGATAGAGTCACTATTAATTTTTCTCTCTTACTAGAGCGGTTTGTAATTGAGTGTCGACAGTAATCAGGCAGTTACTTTGGTTTTGGTTTTACTAAGGTTTGAGATCGGCTGAGTAGTCTAATTGGTAAGTAATTGGTTTGGTCTTACGACACGTAATTGAAAACCACCCTATGTATAGAACAAAACTGTAATTGGTTAACAGGAACTTACATCTGTTAAAACGTCAATCAGCATTCACTGGGAAAGGACACAATTTATTGGGGCTCTACTGTGTAATTTCTTTGTAAGGTGATGGAAAGAAGCTTGCCAGTGTTGGGCTTGATGATAACCATGTCATTGTGGTGTGGGACTGGAGGAAAGGAGAAAAGCTTGCGACCACTAGGTAACAGAATTTAACTGCCAGTTACTTCATTATTACTTGATGTGTTCCTATCTTGTCAGCACTTACCATAATTGTACCTATTATAAATGACAGGAGCTGTTTTCAGTTTTTGCAAATTCCAGCTACATTTTGTGTGGAGGTGCAGTGGACTAATGTTTTGCGCACTGCACTGCAATCCCAGTTCAAGCCCTAAACAAGGTCATTGTATTGTGTTCTTGAACAAGACACTTAACTCTCACAGTGCCTCTGTCCACCCAGGTGTATGAATGATTTAACTGGCAAAGGTAACCTTGTGGTGGACTTGTATCCCATCCAGGGGGGGATTGAAATACTACTGGTCACTTTATGCTACAGAAACCAGGATAGGCTTTGGCTGTGTGGGCCACTGTGTTGACATTGACTTTATCTTACCTTTAAGTGACACAGTCAGCTTTTGGACCACGCTGACTTGGACACTAGTTTTCTCACTTTGAAAAGAGTTCACCTCAACCTGAAATCAAAGTACATTTAGAAATCGGCTTTAATCTTTGCAGTGTTTTGCTTGATTTTCAATCATTAACTGAAAAACCTGTTTTTGAGTGTGCTTTTGCTCATACTATGACGTTATTTTTATCATATTTGGTTAAAAACAGTATGGATTGCGTCTCTGTGATATGCAAATTAGCTATGAAATGGTATCTAATGCGCATGTGCGCCAGCTGACTGTGTCCCTTTAACTTTCACCATAGGGGTCACAAGGACAAGATATTTGTTATAAAATGGAATCCACAGAACCCAGACCTTCTCGTGACGGCAGGCATGAAACACATCAAGTTCTGGACACAGACAGGTGGAGGCTTCACATCCAAACGAGGAACTTTCGGTAGTGCGGGAAAGGCAGAGACAATGATGTGTGTGACATATGGCAAAGGCCCTGATCTGGTGTTCTCAGGAGGGGCCAGTGGAAAAGTGTACATCTGGCAAGGAAACACTCTGAAAAATTCGGTACAGGCGCATGAAGGGCCTGTGTTTGCTATGCAAGTCCTTGAGAAGGTAACAAGCAACATGTAGCATTGAAAACTTAGGTGTTTAGTACATGAAGCCGATGCGACACAGACCACGGTGATTGCTGAATTAACTCCTGACATCATTCGCATGGTGCAGCTAGATAAGAGTCAGCTCTTTATTACGTGGTAAGAGAGGTCTGAAGGTTTCTACAGGAACCTTCAGTGAGAGAGGGAGAGTAAAGAAAAAAGACGAAACAACAACAACAACAAAAATGATTGAACAACAGATGAAGTTAAGCAACTTTAATTTACAGGCACAAAATAATAAATTAATGTATTAGTTACATTCCCTTATGACCTTAGGCCGGGCTTATTAAATAATTCCGCAAGAAAATGAACTTTAGAGAAGCTAGTATTAAAACCAAGTGAGTCACTAGTGATGAAGAACGGTTCAAGTATGGAGACTTTCTGGTACCATTGAAACTTTTACCAGGCAATACTACTTACTTGTCCTGGCATTATGCACAGTTACCACACCCTTTGTAAAATGCTCCATATTATGCAGACAAATGTTTCTTTACATCACAGTCGTTCTTTTGATGTCATATAGCTTATCTTGCTGTTCACCACATGATTTATTTCTATTGTCAGGGTTTTGTGACTGGTGGTAAAGATGGAATAGTTGCTCTTTGGGATGAGAATTTTTCTCGCTGTCTAAAGAATTACAGGGTCGCCCGGACTACCCTGAGCCCTGGTCCACCGTCCTCAATTCTGTTGGAAGATGCTCCTCCGATCCGCGCAATAACACTGGGACAGGGCAAAATTTTAGTTGGCACTAAACATGGCGAGGTATACACTTAAGCTTATTTTTGGTAAAAGAAGTAATGTGAGGCCTTTTTATAGCGATTTTCACTTGAGCATCCAAAGTAATTGGCATTTTCGTTGGTTTTGCACTTCTACGCTCCGCGATTGGCTTAAACAACTCGCGCCACTTTTTCATCCAATCAGAAGTAAAACCAAAACCAATCGTGAC